GAAGGCGCGATCCGTAACAAAAGACAGGAGAGCTCATCTACCTCGGGATCGCCTACCGCTGGGACAGATACACAATTCCTTTTTTTTTCTTTCTTTTTTTGACAGAAACACACTTCAATACCTTTCATTCTGTCATTATGTGAGTTTCGAGTCATCTATGTCAGTTACCATCTTAAACACATCATCATCATCATCATCATCATCATCATCATCATCCTCATCATCATCATCATCATCATCATCATCCTCATCATCCTCATCCTCATCACCATCATCATCAAACAGGGCATTAATTCCAGTGGTTCTTCGCTTGTTTGCCGCCATAATACTTTAATTCTTCCAGCCTGCACGACGAAATGGGAGAGCGAGAGCGTGCCTACTGCCACCATCGCTTCTTGATAGGGCTAGCTACCGTGTGCACTCACCAGCCAGGATGACCCGCCGTCCCCCCGCTCTCCTTTCTCTGTACGACTTGCTTCACGTAGTTCCAAATGAGGTAACAATTTCTTTCCTTTAATCTACAACTTAATAATTCCATTAATCTACAGCTTAATAATTCCATGAATCAACAACTTAATAATTCCATTAATCAACAACTTAATAATTCCATTAATCAACAACTTAATAATTCCAGTAATCAACGATATCATCCCGAAATGGGATTCCAACTGTCGGGTTGGACGAGAACGCAGATTGCGCTTCAGGTGCGGATGCCACTTCGAGGTTAGCAGGACTGAGATTCTGCGATGCAGAATCCGAATCCGACGAGTGGAGATCAAGGTCAGCGACGACCTTCCGATAATGGACACTCGGCTTACTGCAAATACTCAATTAATGAGACTTCTTGCCTTTATCATAATCCGCACCAATAGATGTCTCCCTTGGGGTAGTGACATTGATTTGCTTTCATCAACACCGCTAGCACCCACAAGAGATGGTTCCCAAAAAAACAAACAAACAAACAAACAAACAAACAAACGCAGCAGCATGGGTAGAGAGACATGAATACCCTGAACCCTCTTCCACACTTCCGTGACGTAATTTGGTCCTTATGATGAAGAGCAGGTCTTCCACCAGCAGGTCTCTCTCTCTCTCTCTCTCTCTCTCTCTCTCTCTCTCCATTCTAAGAGAGAGCAAGGATAGCGAAACACACCATTGTATATCGAAGATAAACAGTAAGGGCGAAAAAAAAAAAAAAAAAAAAAAAAAATTAATTTACGAGGGAAAACACGCTATACGTAACCCATACAAGCACGGCGCCCAGCACTCTCTACTTACATCGAGGACCCCTTACGAGAGGAGGGGTAAGGAGGGGGAGGGGGAATTGAGGAGTGGCAAGGGGGAGGGAGGGGGAATTGACACAAGTCGTTCGCTTCCCTTTTTCTCATCAGTTCTTGACAAACGCTGCCCACTACCAACTGTTTGGATCGGGGGGTTGTCCCCTTGCTCACGCGTCCTCGTGTCAAAAAAAAATACACGCGTCCTCGTGTCAAATCGATGGGGAGGGCAACAGGGAAACAACAACAAAATCGACAAGAAACGCGCTTCATCCCGCTCTCCCTGCCGGCTTCTCCCCCGCCTGGACGAAAATTAACAAGCTTCTCGACTTCTCTTGACGTTCTGCTACACAGTTTTTTTTTTTTTTTTTTTTTTCAATCCGGCTACACAGTATTGTACTTTTTCTCTAATTTCCGTTTTTTTCCTGTTCGATGGACGGACAACAAAAAACGCCGTTCGTCAGATCCTCCATTTTCTAATTCGATGATTTCGATCTTTCTATCACAGCCACACCATAAAAGCCGTTGTTTTTTGTTAATTAAATTAATGCAACTGATAGGCTTCGGTAGTGTGACCCGCCTGACCTGGCCCTTTGATATGATAGATATCATATCATATATATCCCTTACGGGATTTGAACCCGTGTCTTCGCCATCAAAAAGCGATGTCCTATACCCCTAGACGAGAGGGACGAATGAATGTGCTTGTAGCTCAATTGGATAAGAGCACCAAACTGCGGATTTGCGTGTCATCCTTGCGCAGGGGCCATGCTAATCTTCTCTGTATCGTTCCAATTTTAACGGATGTCCCGAAGGACCAAACTACGGATTTGGGGGTTGAGAGTTCAAGTCTGTCTTTCCAAGCATGGCCTATAACTCAGTTGGTTAGAGTATACGCTCCAGAAATTATACACACGGCGCCAAAGCGCTCGGCCTACCGTCATTTAGACAAGACAAAAAAAAAAAAAAACATGGGGCAACCAAACCCCGTCCCAGAAATTAATACAAAACTTTATTACTACGAGGACAGCGCTGCCACCTCCATGCCTAAGGGGTGGGATCGACGACTACTCTTTTTCAGACCTCTTCATATCGAACGCCTAAAGGGGTGTATTTGCTCAAGGCCTAAGGGATGAGGGGGATGGTATTTGCAACGGGGGAATGAGTGACGAGAGATGAGGGAGGAGAAGGGAGGACAGATGAGAGTGGCGAGTGAAGAGAGAGAGAGAGAGAGTGGCGAGTGAAGAGAGAGAGAGAGAGAGAGAGAGAGAGAGAGAGAGAGAGGCAACTTCTCTATTACTATTTCTGAAGCCTCCTGTGCGAATTCATAGCCAACGCCCGATGATCACACTCAGCCATAGCTTTCTTGTTCTACTAACCTCTCTTCTTTTCGCTATCGTATGCACCTCCCCAGCGACCACCTACGCGGAATGAGTGAAGAAGATGGGGGTGGGCTTCGAGACTAAAGACCTGAGTCTTCATTCCACCGAGGAGTTCAAGGCGCTCTACCTACCTCCGTAAACCACCACTACCTTTCTCAGCGTTGGGAAAAATGGGAATATATAGCCCTTTCTCACCCCATTGCGTCCTAAGGGATGTGATGTCTGCTCACCGCAATGCCACGACATCAAGAACGAAACGAAGGGTCCCGCCGCACGGCACACGAAACGAAAACGAAACGAGTGCATCTGCCCACGAAAGGTGGCGAAGTACACTCGTTACTATCAATAGCAAACCGGTGAGCCTGGCCATTTTCTGCAGGAAGATGGCACTCGTTTCGTTTTTCGTTTCGTGTCCCGTGCGGCGACGCCCGAAGTCGCGTTCATCATCAGCGGACGAGATCACACACTGGTCCATCCATTTGGGAGATCGGGGAAGGCAAGCGTTGTCATTGTCAATCCCGATCCCGACCGAGAAGCAAACGAATGGAGCCAAAGGAGCCATCGGATTGGAGAGGAGTGTGGGGGCGTCCAACAGAACGACCTGGATCTTAAAAGAAAATAAATAAAGAACGAAAAGACAGACGAGGAAGGAGACAATCAAGAAACAGAAAGACCGATGAGAACGAAGAACTAGCGTCTTTTCAGCCGAATAGCACACCCGATCATTATAGCCGTATTTGGTGTAATGTTCAGTCCAGATAAAGTTATAATGACCCGGCGTTCTATTCGGGTGAAGATGGTAGGGGACAAAGATGACTGGGAAGGGGTAGGGATCCGGAGGACAACCCTAATTCATCGCCTCAATTTACTTATTAATGGGGAAAAAAAAGAACTACTTACTGCATCAGTTATAGTACTACTCGACAACGCGCGACGACATATAAACGTACCGACCAGCGTTTCCTCTCAAATCCATAATCAATGATCACATCGCCCATTCATGCTTCTCAAACCGATCGTCGTCGCTATCCCAAGAAAGACTCCAGAGTGCTAAGAAATTCAAATACCAATTCTGCGTTTGTGGATTTAATCCTCACAAAGCCAGACACACGCGGGCACACAAACGGCCAAAAAAAAACAGAAAAAGGCAACAAGAGAAAGCAGACGGGGAGCTCCTGCTTAAATAAGAGTTTTGAGGGGACACCAAAGAAATGAGAAAGTAAAGAGAGAAAAAGGAGGGGGAAACACAAGCTACACATTCCAACGCAAAGGAAGCATCCGAGAAGATGATTTCATAATGAAGGATAAAATCCAGGGGGAAAAAAATCTCTCTCCTGTACATAGACGTATACACTGTCAGATGCAGAAGGACATTCGGCAACAAAGGCGCACCAACAAGCTCGTCCGTAGAACTTTCACCTACTGGCTGGAGATTGAAGCTGGCCAGTCTTCACAAACTGCCTATCGCTGATGTTAAGCAACAGTCTTCACAAACTGCCTATCGCTGATGTTAAGCAACAATCAATCCACCCCGATCCCTGACGTAGGCGCGTAACACCTGTTTACGCCGCCCAGCGATCGACGCGGAATCTCTCTCTCTCTCTCTCTCTCGCGCGCGCGCGCGCGCTCTGCGGCGGAGGTCCATGCCTCAGCCATCTGGAGACTGCGCAGGTGTCAACGGATCCGAGAAGATACAGTCGCACATTACTCTCTCTCTCTCTCTCTCGCTCTCTCTCTCTCTCTCTCTCTCTCTAGCGCGCGCTAAGGGGGAGGTCCATGTCTCAACCATCTGGAGACAGTGCGCAGGTGTCAACGGATCCGAGGAGATATAAACGCAAATGACTCTCTCTCTCTCTCTCTCTCTCTCGCGCGCGCGCGCGCGCGCGCGTGCGCACACGCTGAGGGGGAGGTCCATGCCTCAGCAATCTGGAGTTAATGCGCAGGTGTCAACGGATCCGAGGAGATACAGTCGCACATTACTCTCTCTCTCTCTCTCTCTCTCCCTCCCTCTCTCTCTCTCTCTCTCTCTCTCTCTCTCTCTCTCTCTCTCTCTCTCTCTCTCTCTCTCTCTCCCCCCCGCCTCCTTTTTGGTGTGTTTGTGTACATATGTGCGTGTGTGACAATGACTGGGCATGCGCCAAGAGAATTGGAGGAAATTTTCCAATACATGACCCCACATTCAGTTATCTTGGTGCGTGTCCTATCATCTTTATACTAGTCTCAGAGGACAAGCAAAACCCAACACCCCCCCCAACCCTCCACCCTTCTGCTCTACCTCTACCAGTGGACGGGGGATTGCAAAGCAACCAATGAAGGAGAAAAAAGGAAAATGGAAACGTACCCGATCTGCAAGGAGGTCAACGAATACGTGCGGAGGTCGCGGCCCCGGCCCGCCTCGCCTTCGGTGGCCGTGCCACTCCCTGGCAGCTCCATTGTTTATTACCCTCTCACTCACTTCCCTGGCCGCCCTCTTCTACCACCTCCCAACGCCTGCCACCAATTCCTTTCAGTACTGTCTAACTCCTTTCCCTTCTCCTCCCATTGCCCTTCTTCACGGAACCACCTCCACCTCCTCCCCCTTTCTGGCAACGAAATTCTTATGATGTCGGGACACCCAAGAACAGACCTCTCAACCACCAGACGGAGATCCCGATCGCGACAACACTGCGATCTATAGCTCCACATGCCGACGCTCTCCATGGAATACACTGCTCCCCCAATACCCCCCCCTCTTATGCTCTCGTTCCAGCCACCACCTCTTTTCTCCGTAGTTCACCCCTCTCCACCTCTGCTTCCTTAACTGCCCCCCTCTCACCGCCATCTTCTTTTTGCCAATCGCGACCACGCGCGCCTCCTGATACCCTCGTCTCGTTGATCTGCACTTTATCCGGCTCCTATTCCTCCTCCTTTCCCTTCTCCCTCTTCCTCCTCCTCCTCCTCCTCCTCCTCCCTGCAAACCCGCTACAGTCGGGACTGAAAAGCACCAAGCGCGCCAGGGAAACCGATCATAACGTCCTGCTGCGGCTTCTCTGATTGGCACAGTGAAAGCTTACAGCAGCTGGGCATCCCGCACTCAGCTTGCTCCACGAGGGCCGCGTTCCCGCGGAAGGGACTTCAATCAAGCAACCACCTTCCCTCCTCTCCATTGACGGCAGGCAATGCTGCCTCTTCCTTCCGGTCTACCTGCCAACCAATCGCAATCACCAATCAGCCACCAACGCAAATCAGGATGCCTGATAAACGTTCATTTCCCTGCATCTCCATCATTCACGCCGCCGATCACACAACAAAGACTGAAAGAAAAAGTCAAAAAAGGGGCCCCGACACAACAGATGCCGCACCTTTACGCGAGCGGAGCTAATACAAACTGGTAACGAAATCGCAAGAGCGAGTTTTATCTGTATGCGAGTGGTGCGCGCAAGTGTTGATCTCTGTGTTCTTATATGTTTGTGGCACTTTGTGCATGCGTGCGCGCCAGCATTCAACACAGAATCAGCGGGGGCGGGTAGAAGGACGGGGGGAGGAGAGAGGAAGACGGGGGAGGGGAAGGGAGGGGAGAG